CCTGGGCATGTGCCCTGACCGGGAACTGAACCCCGATTGCCTGGATCCCAGGTTGATGCTCAACCGCTGAGCCAGGCTCGCCGGGCGCAAGTCTGTCTTTTTGGGTGTTTGTGAGAGCTACATAATTAGGTCACTGAAGCAAGTCCTATAATCCCAGCTCCTACTGCTGTCTGGGACCCAGGGGTCCCGTTGAAGGGTTTGTAGAACCATATACATCTAGATACCAGCTCTGTTTCTGCAGAACATTCATAAGATCCCCAGGCCAAGTCCATGGCTTGGCTATTTTCTGATTCCAGAGTTAAGCTGACATGGAAATGTTCTAATGACTCAAACAAAGGCCTGTGATACTTCCTGCACGGTTCAGTTCACATTACAGATGGGGGGCAATGAAACAAAAGGACCCACCTTCTGACTTAGAATTGCTTTCACTGCATCCTCGACTTCCTTCTGATGGCTGAGGTCAACAGTCCAGACGTGGGGCCGCCCGATGAAAACTTCGGCATAAGGGTGCTGCGACGTCAGCTAAAAAAGAAGACAAAACACTTCAGTCTCACACACATCTTGTTTTTAAAAAAACACACAAACATCTTCAGTGCTGGATGAGGTGTTAGGCTTTTTATGGTACCAACTTGTACTTGCATAAGTAACAAGGTTCCTTTTCCATCTGTCCTTGACCATTAAAACCTCTTAAGCAAACCATTAGCAGATAATAAAGTAGCGATGGCTTTGGACCCAGTGGGACATTTCTTGAGCCCACTCAGAGCCATCTGGATGCACAGGCATGGCATTAACAGGTACAGATAAGGAAACTGAGGCACCGCCTGCCTGGATGCTCAACAGGTTCATGTGGGATGTTTCAAAGCAGATGTCCANTGACCAAGAGAATCGGAGATGTCAGTTACTCATACAAAATTCTAGGAAATGTTTAGTTAGAAAAGCCAAATAGATGCTATATAAAAACATGTCCCGTATTTCCTTAAATATTCCTTAGCCTCACCTTTTTGTAGAAGAGCAAGTCTGCTTTTTTTTTTTTTTTTTAAATATATCTTTATTGATTTCAGAGAGAGGAAAGGAGAGGGAGAGAGAGAGATAGAAACATCAATGATGAGAGAGTCATTGATCGGCTGCCTCCTGCACACCCCCGACTGGGGATCGAGCCTGCAACCTGGGCATGTGCCCTGACCGGGAACTGAACCCCGATTGCCTGGATCCCAGGTTGATGCTCAACCGCTGAGCCATGCTCGCCGGGCGCAAGTCTGTCTTTTTGGGTGTTTGTGAGAGCTACATAATTAGGTCACTGAAGCAAGTCCTATAATCCCAGCTCCTACTGCTGTCTGGGACCCAGGGGTCCCGTTGAAGGGTTTGTAGAACCATATACATCTAGATACCAGCTCTGTTTCTGCAGAACATTCATAAGATCCCCAGGCCAAGTCCACGGCTTGGCTATTTTCTGATTCCAGAGTTAAGCTGACATGGAAATGTTCTAATGACTCAAACAAAGGCCTGTGATACTTCCTGCACGGTTCAGTTCACATTACAGATGGGGGGCAATGAAACAAAAGGACCCACCTTCTGACTTAGAATTGCTTTCACTGCATCCTCGACTTCCTTCTGATGGCTGAGGTCAACAGTCCAGACGTGGGGCCGCCCGATGAAAACTTCGGCATAAGGGTGCTGCGACGTCAGCTAAAAAAGAAGACAAAACACTTCAGTCTCACACACATCTTGTTTTTAAAAAAACACACAAACATCTTCAGTGCTGGATGAGGTGTTAGGCTTTTTATGGTACCAACTTGTACTTGCGTAAGTAACAAGGTTCCTTTTCCATCTGTCCTTGACCATTAAAACCTCTTAAGCAAACCATTAGCAGATAATAAAGTAGCGATGGCTTTGGACCCAGTGGGACATTTCTTGAGCCCACTCAGAGCCATCTGGATGCACAGGCATGGCATTAACAGGTACAGATAAGGAAACTGAGGCAGCGCCTGCCTGGATGCTCAACAGGTTCATGTGGGATGTTTCAAAGCAGATGTCCAGGGCTATCCTGGGCCCTTTGAGATGGTTCCTCAGAACTTTGGAGGGGCCCCTGGAGGTGCAAGGATGGGTGGCATGTGGGCCAGGGCCTTGCCTGAGGCCATGAGATCTGTGAGGCAGACCCAGGAGACTTCAGGTGGCTTCAACCCCCAATACTGCACCAAGAAAAAATAAAGACTTACTACCTTCCACCCTCCAGCCCTGGAATCACCCAGATTAAACTTGTGTGTGTTAAAAGACGCTGGTTATGACAGGCAGGTAAGCACAGGAAAATTACAATAAAGGCCTTAAAATCATAGTTGGATGAGTGGTGGAGACAGAGAACTAATGCTACCAGAAAACTGGGGGAATTCCGAAATGGTTTCAGGAATACTCATGAACACAACATTGAAGCCTCAATACTTATATAAAGACAATCTGGATTCAGACAAGCAAGGAAAGGCAGTGTTTGCTGCAAAGAGGGCTCTGGTTTAAGAAGAAAGGGTGGCCAGAGAAACCCGGTATGCACACTGATAATTCTCAGTTCCTGAAGAGCCCATTCTCCGACACAGCTCAATGTACCCCTCAAAAATGCGGCCTCACCTTTATTCTTGTATCCCTTCAAGGTTGTGGCGTGAAGGGGGCATTTGGGGCATTTATAAGAGCATTTTCGGTTCTTACAGAGACTGGGGGTGCCACCCTTGATGAGAGGGTGATACCGGGATATCAGACACCCGTGATGTGCACGCCAGTCGTGTGCAAGGCGGACGCATCCACTTCCCACACAGCGTTCCCAGGCCCCGCCGGGCTTTCCTGTGGGTTCATAGGATCTAACTCTTTGGCACAGTTTTAATATACACTGAATCTGCTACGAGCATAACTACCATGTAAATCAGGGGTGTTCGTGCTGTTTTATTTGGAGCGTCATCAATAAGCCATTACCATTTCAGAAAAATGGCAGCAAAGTCAACGCCACTCAGATGACCTCAGTACACCGTGCCCAAGTCAGTCCATCCTTGCAGCCACCCCGTTCATGTCAGTTGCTTACAGATGTGTGTATACATAGGAACTATTTATTTAGCTCCATTTTCATGTCAGTTATGAGGAAAGAGCTGATGAGACTCAGCTGCCTGTTTTATTCCCCTCAGCTACAAACTTATTCACGGGAAAGAGGAACGAGGTATCAGGTGTCTTCTGTATGGTTCTTGGGCATAGGTCAGTATTTCCCGACTACATGGACACTGAAATATGCATTACCTTATTGTAACTTATTTTGCTTTTATTTCTCTTATGTTAGAGAATCATTCTTTTTTGAAATTATATACATAGGTGGGGTATAATATTTACGCATTTCATTTCAGGAGAGAAAAGCAGATGCTACATTATCCTTGTAAGAAAAGGAGGTGTTGGGTCTGCTGGGGTGGAGGCCCTTGCTTCAGAGGCCACGCTGGCTCTCTTTCTGTCCAGGCCCCATGTACTCAGAGGACTGGGTGATTTAACTGACGCCTCTCCATCTGGCTCACGTCACCGTTCTTTGAATTCTACCGCACAGATGGTGCGTGTGCACCACTCAGGGTGGGTAAGTCACTCAGCCTCGGCAACAGGCCTACCCTCGAGGGAAAATCACGCGATTCAGAGGTGCGGGGGTCCTGGCTTCTCTCCTGCCCTCTCTGCGGAGCCACGCCTCTCTCCAGCCTGTTCGGTTCTCCTTCCTTCTGACACGGACCCTCTTCTGCTCAGACTCCTGGTTAGTTACAGAGCCTGCAGAATGCCCACAGGCTCATGGAGCTGCAGGAACATTATTTGTTTCCCTCAGCACATATTTTAGGTTCAACGAGTGCAGATGAAGCCCCTGGCTGGGCCAGGCACTGTGCCAATCACCTGACATACATCATTCTCAGGTTTCCTATGTTTCCATGAGGCCTCTGAGGCCTACGGGGGTTACAATTCCCCAAGACCACACAGCTACAAAGAAGCTGAGCAAATTCAAACCCAGACCCTTCAACAACTTATTAGCTCTACACAGAAAGGAAACTGATGACATTAAAGGATGCTAAGACAAAGGCCAAACGAAGCCCAATGTAAGCACCAGTCTTTCTTTCAATCACTCTCTTAAAACACAACCTAAAAAAATCCCTGACTGAACTTATGCCTGTATTAGACCTTTTCTGAAGATGAACAAAATGTCACACCACATTCACTTTGTCACTTGGAGAACAAACTACGTAACTAATTGTGACAATGGACACAGGGAGAGTTAAACTTGCCATAAATGTCACTCTTCAGCCACTAACACATCAGCAGTCTCTCTCCCCTGCCCTTTCTAAGACCCCTGCTTATTTATAAGGCTGCGCTAAGTACTCGGAAAATAAAAATGTGGAGCCATTATCATTTATTCATTTACATTTATTGAGGGTTACTTAATTTTATGAGGAAGGCATTCTGTGATTCATTATTTCCCCTCCGAATGTTATGTTCCTTCTCGTTAATTTATTGAGAACCATCTGATCTGAGTTACTTCCTTGTATATCAATCAGTAAATTTACTGGAGTATAGTTTGTAAAAGTAATGAAAATCTTATTAAATATGAGACATTACTTCAGAGCAGCTATTAAATCTCTGAGGACATGAGTTCTCTTTACGGGGAAAAAAAACCCCCCAAAACCCAAAACCCTGAAGCCAGAGAATTTCTAATGGTTTACAAAATGTCATAATAATGACCAAGAACCTACTAATATGTTTCCCAAATAAAGATAAAAATCCAATTTATATTACATTTAAAGTATAACTTGAACAGACCACATTAATCACAGCATCATGGAACGTTTTCCCCTCAGCGTACACTGTGGTTTTAAAAATTGGTCCAATGCAAAAAATAAAGACAAAGCTTTTTTGTTTTCTAAAAACAAAGGAAAACCTAGGCGTTTTCTTCCCTTCAAATGAACACAAAGAAGAGACATATATGCAATTTATGTGGATCAACTGTTGCTTATCTTGAAAGACTAGCATGGGCACAAAAGATAGCTATGCAATTGTATATACTTGCGTTAAAATGTTTTCTATTTCTGGATTTCTGACCCATAGAAATCTGTAGAACTGTTGATGCCTCTTTCCCAACTTAAAGCTTCTCTGCTCAGGGACATTCTGTGGCCTCTGTGAGCTAAGGGCAGAGTGGGGGGCCTGCCTGGCCATGAGGCCAAGCTCACTGGCTCCTCTCAGGACGACGTGGCGTTGCTGGCTCCCGGCCTGCTCCCGGGGCTGTCTCCAGCAGAGGAGATGGACATCAGATGGAACCTGCCCTTCTGCATAGCACAGTGTGACCTTGGGGTCACATCAACATTCATGCCCTCCGCTTGAAACCCACTTTCCTTCTTTTCCTTTTTAAAACCCAGCTCCTCTACACCCCTCTTCAGTTAACACAGCACACTCCCCACCTGGCACAACTCCAAGTTAACTTCCCTCTTTCATCTACTTAGCGATTTTTATATGCATTTCCATTGATGACGAATCTGTCTTATCGCTCTTCTCTATCAAATTCTGAGCTCCTAGAAAACAGGAAATGCGTTTTCTTAGTAAGTTCCTCCAAATGCAGCAACTGGTACCATGGGCCCCGTAGAGCACAGTGTATATCTGTCAATTGACCTTCTGCATCCTGGGCCTCCCATGGGAGCCAGGACTGATGAAGTCATCGGTGTGAGGTCACCTGCTGAGCATCTGCTGACAGGACCCCATGGCGCCCTCTTGCCTAGTCTCATCCAAGCACCAGTGCCATCATCTGAAGGCCCGGGGGAACCAAGTGCCTGTGGTGGCTCCAAGGCCCAGTCTCCTTTTAAGTCACAAAGAATGAAACTCTCCACCATCTCAAAAAAAAGCAAATTACTAAACAGCGACAACTGATAGAAAACAATGAACATATTTTTCTCAATAACTTCCTACTGGCTGATCTGGTCTATGTAATACTACGTAATTTGCTGGGAAATAGACTGTGTTTAATTGCCCTACTTTTTTTTTTTCCTTCAGGAAAAAGGACTCACGTGTAACAAAGTACCATCGAAATCTTTAGAATTATCACTAATGAATGGGTGCCAGTTCCAACGCAGTCTAAGATACTTTTGATTAATAATCCCTCAGAGGCTTGTATATAAAAACGGCAGTAAGAAAAGGGATGGGTTTCTTTGCTTTTCATGCATTAAAAAAAAAAATCATGATGAAAAGAAAATCACCATTAGAGCACCACAGTCATTACTGTGACAGGCAAGATCTACTTATGCACGGTAAAAAGAAATGGGCAAGCCCTAGGTGGGTGGCTCAGCTGGTGGGAGTGTCGTCCCATAACCAAAAGGCTGTGGGTTCGATCCCTGGTCGGGCACATACGGGAGGTAACCGATCGATATTTCTCTCTCACATCGATGTTTCTCTCTCTCTCATCAATAAAAAACATATACTCAGGTGAGGATTATAAAAAAATAAACAAATAGGCAAAAGTTTGAGGAGAACCAGGATGCTTGCACAGTCTCAAAGTATTTTCCCCAATTTAAAGGCAAATAGCAGCCTTACAGTTATTATTACTTTATAGTTACTACCTTACCCAAGTGATCAAGGTGAACATCACCTGTGACAAGATATATTGACACGATGCACCCCTGACATGATACACTGAGAAGGGCAGTCACTTCTGTGGTATTATTGCCAAAAATGTGTAACCCTCACACTGATCATGAGAATATGTCAGCCAAGTCCAAACGGAGGGACAGCATGTGCAAAACACTGACTAGCACTCTTTCAAAAGGTCTAGGTCATGAATGACAATGCAAGGCTGAAGAACTGTCACAGATTGGGGGAGCCTGAGGAGATGTGACAATTACATGCAATGTGTGATTCTGGACTGGGTCCTAGAACATAAAAAGGATACTACTGAAAAATCTGGTGAAGTCCATATAAAGTTTACAGTTTAGATAATAGTATGGCCCCAAGGTTAATTTCTTAGTTTTGATAACTGTACCATGGTTTTGTAATTTGTTACCATTAGAGGAAGCTGAATGAAGGATATACCCAAACTCTGAAATTTTTGCAACTTTTCGTGAAAACTAAAATTACTTCAAAATAAAAAAAAGGTAAGTTCCAACAATTCCACTTGTAGGTATATATCCCAGAGAAGTGAAAGAAAGCAAGGACTCAAGGAAATAGCTGTACACCGATGTTCAGAGGAGCACTGTTCACAAAAGACGAAAAGGGAAAAACAAACCAAGAATGGGAAAATAAAATGTGGCATTAGCCAAGCAGTGGAATATTATTCAGTCTTAAAACGAAAGGATTCTGACACATGCTTCAACATGAACAAACCTTGAAAACACTATGCTAAGTGCAATGTGCCAGTCACGAAAGGACAAATACTGTTTAATTCCACTCACGTTAGGTATCTAGAATATGTAAGTTTATAGAGACAGAAAGAATAGCAGGAGGTTGTGGAGAGGGGAGAACGGGAAGTTACTGCTCAGTGGGTACAGAGTTTCTGTTTGAGATAAGTTCTGGAAACAAAGAGTGGTGATGGTTGGACAACACTGTGAATGTAGTTAATGCCAGTGAATTGTATATTTAAAGATCATTAAAATGGTCAGTTTTACATTATATATACTTTATCACAAAAAAAGGGGGGGGAAGCGTAGAAATTACATATAATTATACAATGTGAGCAGAAATAGAACTTCTGAGATTTCCTTCACCTAAATTAAAACATGGAGATTTGTTATCTCAGATTTCCTAACCCAAGTGCCAAAGTTTTAAAGCAGTCAGTCACACGCTAAAGCAGAGATTCCTAAATCCAGATGTTCTCAAACCTTTCCAAAGACTGCGCGTTCCCGCAGCCCCTGGCACACAGGTGTGCATGAGTGTTGCTGAGGATGACCTCCCAGAAAGAAGCCGCTCCCCAAAATGAAGAATTTAAATTTATTATTAGCAGAAGGGAAATCGAGCAAGTGAACACACACAGTGAGGCCTGGCCCCAGGCTACCTGGGCCCCAGGTTCATGTTTTTGACGATAGCCCACAGACCTTGCTGCTCTTCCTCCATCTCCTTTGGCCATTTCAGCAACAATTGGGAGCACTGAGGAAAGAATTCTCAAAATAATCAACTCTGTGAATTGGTAAGATCGCTGATCAGTCAAGAATAGTCACGGAAAATGCATTTTATGTAGTATTTCGGGCCTGGGGGTGGAGAGAATCAACCCAGAAATGTTTAGAAGCGGCAGAATTGAGCACCGTATGCTTTAACAGTGCTGCTATGTGCCGCTATGCCAGGGAGGGCTGCCCGGCAGCGTGATCCCAGGAGACGGCCCCAAAGGACAAGGGCACAGTGCTGACGCCAACAGTCAGGCTTCCTCCTCACCAGCAGCCCACATGGCCACGTATTAACTACATCAGAATAATAAAAAATCAATCTCGTGGTTTCTTGCACACACCTATGTCTGAACAGATGCAGAAACACGCAGCTTGATCACTCACATGCTCTAAAGGATTTCTGTTTATTGCCCCAAATCAAATCTGACTGCCTCCAATGGTGATTCATCACCCGCTGTGGGTTATCAAGAGGATCTCTGAAGGCAATTCCAACAAAGCTTCTGCAAAGGGCTTGAGCAATGCCAGGACTGCTTCTCAGGGAGGTGCCTGCTGACGGTGAGCTCACATACCAGGCACATCGCTTCACACCCATGACACATCCTGTTTCTCAAGAGTGATGGTTCTTCAAACACCTCACAGCCCATTTTTTACTCCCCACAGCTCATCATGGAGAGTAGGTCCTTCATAAATACCTGTTAGACAGTTGACTTCCTTATTCCATAACTAAATATTCAGAAAATCTGAGGTCAGCTCATTCAGCTGGAGATGTCTGAATTAAGATAGAGAGTTTGGGCGGAGTGAAAAAATCCCACACTTTGAGGGGCAGAAATGGATTCAAATCCTGGCTCTGCCACTACCTAGCTACAGGATGTCATCACGACCTTCATCTCTGGGTCTCTGCAATCCCTCCCTCCACCCAACTATGTCAAATGAAGTCAGTAACACCTACTGTCCAAGGCTATGAGCTTGAATGGGCTCCCAGCGCTCAATAAATAGCTATTATCATGTCATGGAAAGTTGAAGGATATTAAGGATGCTTACCTCTCTCAGAGTTGGCTTGCCAATGAAAAAGTCCGTGTTTTTGCTGCTTTTGGGTGGGTTGAACTTGGGATTCAGAAAAGCACATCCATTTGCAATGGCCTCCAGGGGAGCTGGGCCCTCGTACGGGAACCCGAGGCCAACAAACAACTGCGAGAGAGAAAAGCACAGCATGTAAACACAGCACTCAGAACTGGTGTCCCTGGCTCACAGGGGGCTATTCTGTGCTCCACTCCTGTGGGAGCCTCAGAAAGTCTGGAAGGCTCCCAGGCCCTGGGGGACGGGGCGAAGAGAGGTCAGTGGACAGTAGGGCGCGGGACCTTTCTGGGCTCATGAGCTGCTTGGGTCCTCATGTTCTTCTTTGCTAAAAAAAAGTAAAGAAGTGTTGAAACAGGCAGTTGAGGGGGTTGGAGAGTGAGGGCATTAAAAGGAAAACAACAACAACAAAAACCAAGACCCAACAATAATCTTTCTGTAACTCACCAGGAGACATGATTGGAAAAACACTTGCTTAACTAAACAGAAGGTTTCTTCTCTGAACCAAAGGAACAATAGACCCTTTCAGGGATGCTGGGCAGAGGGACAGCAAGGTCACTTGGTAGTGTGATCACAGTTCAAATGGAGCTGCTTTAAAATGATGGCAGGTCAGTAAACACAGGCTTTCATAATGGGGTTTTCACTTTGGGACACCAACATCTTGGTTTTTATTTTCCCGCAGGGTGGGGACAGGGTGCCCAGCTGCGAAGTGGACAAGGCTGCTCCCTTCTCCAGCCCGCGAACTGTGTGCTTTTCCCACAGCAGACAATAGATGGCAGCAAAAACACACCTCCAGACTCCTCGCAGCAACTGCAGCCGAGAGAGACTGCAACAAAGGGGACTTGCTGCCGGTCTGTGGCACTGATTCCTGGGTCCAGAAATGAAACATCTCACAGAAATGCCTCACCATGGGGTATTTCACAGTGCCAGGGAGCTGTGGGTTCCTGACCGGCAGGGTCCAAGTCTGGGCTTGGTGAGATGTGTGCTCTCCCCACCCACATCACGGGCCAGGGCTGAAATCACTGTCTCCAGAGGCACAGCAAGGGACAAAGGAGGACTGGGCCCCAGGGCATCCTCTCCTTCGGCCATCACACTGAGGAACACCTACAGGAGCCAGGCCCTTAAGGGAAGATACTGCAGAACTGGATATGGCTGCACTCTTGCCTCTCTTTCCCCGGCCCTCTCCCCAGCAATCCTGCCTTTGCAGCTGCTTTAATTGAACGATTATTTAGAACAGTTCTGCCTAGAGAGCCCTGAGTCCAGGCTGCCCAGTTCCCTGGGCAACAATGGAAGATACAGAATGTGTGTGTTGGGCACGCAATTACTGGACTGAACACTGAGCATGGCCCACACTGGACATAGTGGAGATTCATGCAACCCCTGCAGGGATTTTTCCTTGGCGAGAAACTAAAATCTCTGCTTTTTGGGAGCGATTCCCTATCCTGTAACTGTTATGTTCTTTTGCACAGAACAAGGTACTTAACCATTTTATTGTTTGGAGGAATAACCTTTCATTTCCTACAAACCTTGAGAAGACTGGTTACACCATCAGAAACATCCATGAAGGTGTCGTGGGGGATGGGGGGGGGCGTTTAAAAAGGAAAGAGGCTTTGAGAGGCCAGCAGAGCTCCCACGGCTGGCTGGGTCATTTCTCTAGGGCAGACCACTGGAAGCAT